GAGCAAGCTTTCAACATATGGCCTTTAGGAGAGATTTAAGGTCCAAAGGATAATAAGACTACATGCAAAAGTGTAGATCACACACAAATAGTGAAATTGCAATTTCAGGTAAAAATTGCAATTGGGGCCTTTTGATATATATATATATATATATATATGCATTACATTTATATATAATTTATATATTTTTTGGGGGGGGCTCAGTCGTAGGGCCTGAACTCTGGGCTTGGGTGCTGTCCCTCAGCTCTTCAGCTCAACGCTAATGCTCTACCTCTTGAGATACAGCGCCACTTCCGGCTTTCCTGCTTATGTGGTGCTGAGGAATCGAACCCAGGGCCTCATGCATGCAAGGCAAGCACTATACCACTGAGCCACCTTCCCAGCCCTAATTTACATATATTATATATATATATTATATATAATATATTGTATACTATATATATAATATATTGTATACTATATTGTATACTATATTGTATAATATATTGTATACTATTATATAGAGAGACACTATTATTGATATTATATATATATAATTTCAATCATAATAGGCTTAGCCATCCATCCTGTAGGACAATTAAAGAGATGAACATTCCTGGACAGAGAAAGGAGGTTTAATTTAATATAGGTGGATCAGGAAAACAAAGGGACTCAGTGATTTCCCCCTTCCCAGGATTATCCTTGAAAAAAAAAATCTTAAGTAGGGGAAGAGTTTAAGTGCAGTGGATAAGAAGATATGCAAAGTTAAAGCAACCCTGTTCAAGGTATGGCCTGTTTTGTGATTATTTCCACTTTTGTCTCTGTAGGGATTCTGAAGAAGTTATCACTTCACCATTGGAATGGAACAGGAGCAAGTTGCATGGTAGGTAACAGCTTTTTGACTATTCTCTTTAGATGATAAGAGGGTATCTTTGCTTATCTGAGAGGCAGTTTGCTTCTGCATGTACATTCTTTTCTCCCTGGGGTCCAAGATAGTTATAAAATGACAGGAATAGCTCACCTCTTAGAGCACTGATGCCAAGTGGGAGTGAGAGCTGAGTGTCCAGCTTTTAGTTAATTTATAGGCCCAGCAAAATAATCTGTTAAGCTGCCTCTTACAATACTGTGCTGTTTTATATAAGAGACCTGAGCATCCATAGATGTATGTATCCACAGAAGTTCTGGACCAATCAATCCCTTGAATATTTCTATGGTGCCAAGGGAAGCCATGTAGCATAAAAACATGCATTTCATATTGCAACTTAAAGGATAAAAACTGCTAGGTGTTTTGAGAGTACTGAATCAGGGAAATCTTCATTTTGATGACAGCTCAAGAAGGAAGGATCCCAAGAAGAAAAGAATGCTTTTTTTGTGGAAGAGTTATTTAGGCTGGAAGTTAATGAGTAACTTTAAAATACCAAAGTGGAAGGAGTACACTGTAGGCTACACCAAGATCCTGGGGTAGGTAAAAAGCTTGGTTGGCTTGAGAAACTAAAAGACCAATAAGGCTGGAGCACAGGAAGAGAGATCATCAAAAAGGATCCGAGGCAAGGCATTTTTGGCCATGAAAAGAACATTTGCTTTTATTTTGTGTGCTATCTACAATCATCAAGGTTCTAAGTTTTGAATATCTTTCAAAGATCATTCTGGTGGTTCTAAGTATTTGATTCTTTTTGATGATATTCTAATTAATTACCTTTAAAATCTATTTGTCACTCTAAGATTGAGATGTGTCTTAGAATCAAAGGTATTGCTATAGTTAAGTTGGTAGTATTTTTTATTTACATCTTAGTGAACATAAGTGTGACTTACAATCAGTGGATTCTTAGGTTGAATACAGGATGATACTGAAAAATGTCTATAAAATATTAAAGTGGAGGGGCTGGGAAGGTGGCTCAGTGGTAGAGTGCTTGCCTTGCATGCATGAGACCCTGGGTTTGATTCCTTAGCACCACATAAGCAAAAAGAAAAAAGCCGGAGGTGGCGCTGT